GTCAGCATGGAACTGATCCAGATCCCCTGAATGTGGGTATCAGTGAGGAGGCCTAGGCAATCTATGTGGCCTTGGGTAGTAGATCAGTATTTATCCCTGGCATACGAATGGACTTTGGATGCCCATCCCACAATGAGGGATGCTCTCTCAGCCTGGACTATTAGAGGAGGGAGGGCCTCACCCTCCCTGGGAAATGTAGTGGGGATTGGGTGGGAGACTGGGGAGCCTGGTGGGGGGGGCAGGGGAGGAGGAGAGGGAGAGGGAGCTGGGATTGACATGTGAAGCAAGCTTGTTTCTAATTTAAATAAAAAAAAAAAGAAATACAAGTTAGTAATTAGACATCTAACAATCAAATTTGTGGTCATGTTAAGTATATGTTGAAGGTCAAACAGAGATATATTTTAGATAGAAAGATAGTCTTCAAATACTTCAAAGACATATATAATATAGCATTTAAGATATTTTAATAACATAAGCCTATTCACGACAGTTAGACATATCTGCTCCTGGCAGAGACAAGTTACTTAATAAAAGGATAATGGACATCAAATAACCTCCATATGGAGCTTGTTTTCAAAATGGCAACACTAGTCACTGAGCAAGAAACTGTCCTTGCCTTGACTGCTGACAATATGTTGTTCAAATTGGACAAGCAGGACACAAAAGAAGGCAACTGATGAACTTGGCCAAGACAAGGTAGCACAATCCTTCAAAATTCCTGCTTCACAAAAATGTCAGATAGAAGCAGAACCACCGGAGACCTGGGGCCTACACACTGCTGATCCCATCCCAAAGGGATTCAGCCTGCCCAGAGACTTCCAGCACCATAGTCCCTTTCTCCACCCATGGGCTAGGTAGGCCTGGGCCTGTTTCTGGCCTGCCTTCCGGTGCTCTGTGCACACAACTAGCCAAGGCCAGGGGACTGCACACTGAGGTTCCCATCCTGACTGGGTTCTGCCTACCCAAAGACTGCCAAGGCCCTTGTACCAGGACTGCCTCCATCCACACAAGAGGAAAGCCACCAGAGTATTGGACCTGCTTGCACCCACCAGAAGGGAACTGTGGTCACATACCCACAAGGAAAGGAAGAGACTCCTTCTGCACCCACTGGAGAATTGATGGGAAGGAGACAATATAAAAACACACTCAGCAACAGAAAAACCAATATGACACCTCCAGAGACTAGAGACTCTACACCAACAAGACCTGAACACCCCAATGAAGATGAAGCAGAAGAGAATGACCTTAAAAACAACTTCATGAAAATGATAGAGGCCCTCAAAAAGGATATGAGAAAATTCTTTAAAGAAATCGAAGAAAAAACAAACCAAAAAATTCAACAAATGGAAGAAAAAACAAACCAAAAAATCCAATAAATGCAAGAAAGGGAGGAAAAGACAAGGCAAAAATTGCAAGAAACAATTCAAACAGTGCAAGGATTTAAAGCTGAAATAGAGACAATTAAAAAAACATAGTCTGAAGGAAGGCTGCAAATAGAAAAGCTGGGCAAACAGTCAGGTACTACAAATGCAAGCATAACCAACAGAATATAAGAGATGGAAGAGAGAATCTCAGGTGTTGAAGACACCCTGCGAGAAACAGTTTCATTGACCAAAGAAAATCTTGAGTCCAACAAATCCTCAACACAAAATATCCAGGAAATATGGGACACCATGAAAAGACCAAACCTAAGAATAATAGGTATAGAAGAAGGTGAAGAAAACCAGCTCAAAGGGGGCAGAAAACATATTTAAAAAATCACAGAAGAAAACTTTCCCAACCTAAAGAAAGATATGCCAATGAAGGTACAAGAAACTTACAGAACACCAAATAGAGTGAACCACACAAAAAAAATTCCCTCGCCACATAATAATCAAGACTCCAAACATACAGAATAAAAAAGAATATTAAGAACAGCTAAGGGAAAAGGTCAAATAACATACAAAGGCAAACCTATCAGAATTATACCTGACTTCTCCATGGAAACTCTGAAAGCCAGAAGGTCCTGGATAGATATTCTACCAACACTAAGACACCATGGATACAAGCTCAGACTACTACACCCACCAAAGCTTTCAAATACACACACACTCACACACACACACACACACACCTAATATTCCCTGGCCTTGGCTCATAAAGAGATTCCATGACCCTCAGGATCCAGTTTATTTTTATTTTGTTGCTCTCCCATCCTGAGTGACTGCTTCATGGTCCAAGGAGGTTGCTTACACTGCAGCCAGCAAACCCACATCACAGCTCTAAGGTGTTAAGTTTTTAAAAGTACAGCACAAACTTTGATTCTAGGCCCTATATTGCATGCACAGCTACCTTCTCAGGTAAGAGAAAGGCAGAAAATGCAGGGATTGTTTAGCTGGACAGCAAAGAACGATACCCCCAAACTGAGAGTTCTGACTTAGAGTAGCATAAACAATGTCGACAACTTGTAGTCCCTGCCATGGTATACTATTGTTATGTGATGGGAGAATAAACAGCATGCATATGCTGGGAAATCTTGGCTAGCTAGGCTGAAGTGCCCAGGGACAGTCTGTATCTTTGGAAAGGAGGTTTGTCTGTTGGAGAGAGAAGAAACAAGAGCAGTTTTAGGAAGCTACCTGTATGGTCTTTGAATGTTATATTAGAACCTGGTGTTTTCTATAGCATAAAAGCTGTAATGTAAATACTAGCATTTTATTTGGGGTATTGGATGCTAACTAAAACCCCCACACTATTTCTTTATGTGGGTCTAAGTGGTAAATAAAATTGCACATGTTCAAAATACAAAAGTAATGCTTTGTTTCATTATACTTGGGTTTCAGGGGTGGAGTTGAGACAGGTTCTCATGATGTAACCCAGGATGGTCTCAAACTCCCTGCATTGCCCAGGCGAACCTCAGAATTGATCCTCCCACTTCAGCCTCCCCAGAACTGGGATTTACTGGTGTGTTCATCACTCCCAGCTATGATGTTTTGATGTAGTTTTCATAGTTTATGTTGCAAAAAGACAGGGAAATGTGAGTGATGGGAATTAATTAATTTTTGTTGTTGTTTTTCAGTGCTGGGGACTAAACCGGCACTGAAAACTTAAACTTAGCACTTGCCAGGCTAACAGTCTAACCACTGAGCGACATCTCAGTCCCAGGAGTTGCAGGCTTACTGTGACCACTGAGGAGAAATGCTTCAAGTTGGCCCCACACCCTACACTTTACTCTGTAGCTACAATGTATTTCTCAGCTGCGATGACTCCACCCAAAGGACCATGTATTAAGGTTTGGTCCCCAGAGAGATGCCCTTAGGCGCCTTGAAGAGGTGGGGTGGAGTGGTGGAGTTTCAGGTGAGTGGAGCTGATTTGTTTGTTTTTTGTTATTTTGCTTGTTTGTTTTGTCTTTGTAAGGGGAACAGAGGGTGCTCAGCCTGTTTCTCTGTCTTTCTATTTCCCACCACCAAGTGAAGGATTTTGCTCTGACACATGATCCCACTATGAAATGCCACCTTGGCCCTGTCCCAAAAGCAGCGGATCCAACTGGTCATTGCTGCAGCCCAAACTGTACCAGGACTTCTTCTTTGTCCTTTTTCTGTTTTTATTGTTTGTTTCTTTGTTTGTTTGTTTGTTTTGAGTCAGGTTTTCTCCATGTAGCCCTGGCTGGCCTGGAACTCACTATAATTGGCCTTGAACTCAGAGCTTTGCTTGCCTCTGCCTCCACAGTGCTGGGATTGAAGGCATGTGCCACCATGCCAGGCTTCAATCCTTTTTTCCTTATACTTAGATTATATCAGGTATCTGTTACTATCACAGAAACCTGATGAACAAAGTTGAGAAATGGATGGAACTGGAAGAAACCATCCCGAGTGAGATAACCCAGTCACAAAAGACAAACATGGCATGGAATCACTCATATATGGATTTTAGACATAGAGTAAAGGATTACCAGCCTGCAATCCACACCACCACAGAGGCTGGGAAACAGGGAGGAGAGGAGGAAAGGGACAAGATCTCCTGAGCAGATTGGTGGCATGGGGGAGGAGAGAGGGATTTAGGAGAAAGAGAAGCAGAGAGGAGGACATGAGAGAGCAGGAAGGTTGAGTTGGGGGGAGAGCAAGATAAGAGATAGCATAATAGAGGGAGCCATTATAGGTTTAAAGAGAAAGCTGGCACTAGGGAAATGTCCAGAGATCTACAAGGATGACACCAACTAACAATCTAAGCAATAGTGGAGAGGTTACCCTAAATGCCCTTCCCCAATAATGAGATTGATGACTACCTTATATGCTATCCTAGAGCCTTCATCTATTAGCTGATGGAAGCAGAAGCAGACACCCACAGCTGGGCACTGAGCTGAACTTCTAGAGTCCAGTTGGGGAGAGGGAGGAGTGATGAGCAAAGGGGTGAAGACCAGGCTGGAGGACCCACAGAGACAGCTGACCTGTACAAAGGTGAGCTCATGGACCCCAGATTGGTAGCTGGGAAACCAGCATAGGACCAATCCAGACCCTGTGAATGCTGGTGTTAGTTAGGAAGCCTGGGCAATCTATGGGGCCTCTGGCAGTGGATCAGTATTTATCCCTAGAGTACGAATGGACTTTAGGAGTCCATTCCACATAGAAGGATGCTCTCCAGCATAGACACACGGGGGAGGGCCTAGGCCCTGCTCCAAATGATATGACAGACTTTGAAGATCCCCATGGAAGGCCTCACCCTCCCTGGGGAGCAGAAAAGGAATGGGATAAGGGGGGGGGTTGATGGAAGGCAGGGGAGGAGGAGAGGGAGAGGAAACTGGGATTGACATGTAAAACAAGCTTGTTCCTAATTTAAATAAAAAAGTAAAGAAAAAAAAGAAGAGGAAGTTGTGAGAATCAGGAGGAATATATAAACCAAGTGGGCTGGGGAACGAAGTGTTTGTTCTTCCAAGTCAGTAACTTCTTTTAATATTTGCTTGCCCTTTTTACTATTCAGACCAATAAATTTCCTAGTGGGGGAAAAAAAACACATCGGAACATTTTGGTAGCAGACACGTGGGATTCGGGGAACAGATCTGAAGGTTAGCCTTTCTGCCATTATAGAAGACGGAAGAGCTGTGGCAGCACCAGTCTGGTGTATCTGCTTAGTGCCTGTGGGATTGATCATGTGAAGTTTGATCACAGGGGACTGTGCCTTGATGACCTGATGATCCTATGACCCACGCACCTACTCACGGATGCCTGCAGTCCTTTTAGCATTCTGTATACCGCCTACTCTGCAACTCAGAGGAGACCAGGAAGTCTCAGGTAAGGCATGCCTGTGAAACAGGACTGAACTGATCTGGCAGCGTACATCAACAGACGGTACAGGGCAGAGAGGGAAAGGGGTGTGCAAAATGGAGGTGCATTCTAAAATGCTGACATAGAGAAGCAGATGCAGTCGGACTTTCTTTGGACTGTCAGCTCCCAAATAATGACACGGAGACTTCTTACTAAGTATGAAAGCTTGGCCTTAGCTTAGGCTTGTTCCCAACTAGCTCTTAAAACTTAGATTAACTCATCTCTATTAATCTACATCCTGCCTCATGGCTCGTTACCTCTCCTTGGTACGATGCTTCCGACTCTCTCTGCACCTTACTGGAAAATTCCACCTCTTCTTGCCAGACTTCCTATCTCTTCCCAGAAGTGCCACCTGTCCTCTCCTGCCTCTCTACTTGTCCATTCAGCTCTTTATTAAATCATTCAGAAGGTGCCTTGGCAGAGAAAGATCTTCAGTGTGATCAAATATCCCATAACAAGCAGAAACTCTTCTAAGGAAAACTGCTGGGCTCAGAGTCAAGACACAAGAGGAGGGAAGACAGTCAGGCTGAGAAGTGTTCTCACGACACTCCTTTCCCAGAGGAATGGCTATTTGTTAATGCACTTATTACCTGTATATATTGCATATATTTATTGTACTTATTGTATATAGTTTTTCTGATGTTAGTTATAGTCTTCTTCTTCTTGTATTAGACAAAAAAAGGGAAATGTGGTAATATATTATTTATGATTTAATAAAGATTGCCTAAGAATTCAGAAAGCAAAGCCAGACATAAGCTATAGAGGTCACAAGCCATAGTGGTGATACATACCTTCAATCCCAGTAGCCATACTAGCTAGTCAGGCAGTGATAGCACACACTTTTAATCCTAGGACTCAGGAGACAAGCAGATGGATCTCTCTGAGTTCAAGGCCATCCTGGCCTACATAAGAGAGAAGAATAACAGAGCTCACACCTTTGATCCCAGCACTTGGAATCACATGCCTTTAATCCCGTGTGGAGGTGGAGGGAGGTGGAGACAGGAGTGACATGGCTGGGCAGAGAAAAGACTATAAGGAGGAGGGAACAGGATCTCAGAGCTTTCGCCTAGCCGAGCATTGGTGGCGCACGCCTTTAATCCCAGCAGAGGCAGGCGGATCTCTGTGAGTTCGAGACCAGCCTGGTCTACAGAGCGAGTTCCAGGACAGCCTCCAAAGCAATACAGAGAAAAAAAGAACAAAACGAAAAAAAAAAAAAGCTTTTGTCTCTGAGGATTCATGGAGACAGGATTGCCATTTCTGCTTGGTAGAGATAAGATTTACTGGTGTGGCTGCTTTGCTTCTCTGATCTTCAGACAGTCTTTATTAAATCATAAATAAATATCACCGTGATGCACACCTTTAACTCCAGCACTCCATAGGCAAAGGCAGGTGGATCTCTGTGATTACGAGGCCAGCCTGGTCTACAGAGCAAGTGCCAGGACAGGCTCCAAAGCTACACAGAGAAACCCTGTCTGAGAAAAAAAATAATTGCTTATACCAAGTGTCCTAGGTTGCTTTTCTATTACTGTGATAAAACTCCATGTCCAAATACAACTTGTGTGAGGAAAGGGCTTATTTGCTCACAGCTTCAGCCATCATCAAGGGAAGCCAGGGCAGGAACCTGGAGGCAGGAACTGAAGCAGGTATGATGGAGGAGTGCTGCTAACCAGCTTGCTCCTCATAGCTCGTTCAACCTGCTTTCTTACATTTTTGGTTGTGAGCCTAGCCAGCCCTCAGCCTGCTTTCTTACACAACCCAGGACCATCTGCCTAGGGATGGCACTGCCCACTATGAGCTGGGCCCTCCTACCCCAACAAACAAAAATGCTCCTACAGACTTGAGGTTCCGTCTTCCCAGATGGCCCCACCTTGTGTGTCAAGTTGCCAAAAATCTAAGCAACACAGAGAACAACAGCTTTTGACCCACTTGAGTTTCTAAAATGCTGCTAGGGAACTTTGTCAGTGGAAGAAACCATCTCTGCTCTATTCCTTCAACTCACCAGTACACTCTGGGGTAGCACAGGCAATAGCAATATTCTATCAAAGATTTATCGATTTTTTTCATTTCACATGTATGAGTATTTTATCATGTACGCATGTGCACCACTGCCACGCAATAAAATAACTATAGAGGCCAGAAAAGGCTATCCAATCCCTTGGGACTGGAGTTACAGATGATTATAAGCTGCTCTGTAGGTGCTGGGAACTGAACAAGGGTCCTCTACACAAGCAGCATGCTGTGGAATAATCCTTCTGTACACTGTGTGAATATATGTCCCTTTGGTTGGTTCAATAAACAAACTGACTGGCCAATAGCTGAGCAGGATAAAGTTAGGTGGGAAAGTCAAACTGAGAATGATGGGATAGGAAAGGCAGAAGCATGGGAGTCAACAGCCAGATGGAGAAGGAGTCCGACATACAAAATGGGGTAGAATAAAAGCCACATAGATTAATAGAAGTGGGTTAAGTTGTAAGAGGCAGTTAGTAATAAGCCTGAGCTATTAGATGACCATTATAATTATTATAAGCCTCTGTGGCTCCTGAGATGGGAAAATTCTGCCTACACCAACAACTTCTCTTAACTGCTGAGCCATCTCTGCAATATTCTTGATGAAGTTTCATTTGAAGATATTAATTTGAAATAAATTAGAAGTCTGGCCACATTTCAATAAGCTGCTTCCTCCCGCAGCTTTTCTATAGCCACACTATCTGCTAAACATTCTGACTGTATTTCTGGAAACTGCTTCCTTCTATAGCTTTCATATGGCCACACCATCTGTTTGCTAAATGTTGCCGGTGTTCCTACCTATTTAGTGTCTTCTTACTTCAAGACTGGTTCTAGACTCAGTCTAATATTTCTAGAATATATCTTCTACATAAAAATCAGGGAGGGAACTGCGGATGTGGTTCAGTGGTAGAGCATGTGTGTGGCCCCGGGGAAGATCCCCAACACGGCAATAAACAAACAAATAAAAAGAAAAGAAAAGAATGTAGAGAATGCATTTGGAGACTAATACATTTTAAGTCATCTTTTAGTTAACAGAGCAGACTTCAGCTGTATTTACATTCTCCAATGTTGATGCTTCTCATATGCATCCATTACATTAGGAATGCAAGGAACAAACACTGCTATATTTATGCATCAAGGAGCCACATAAAACATTTAAAATAATATGCATTCAAAAACAAGAGCAAAGATAGTGTGACAGTGTGGTTAAAATGTTATGACCCGACTGTGCAGGAGGAACCCAAATGACTTCCTGCAACCAGGCACTCTCCAGACTCATCCATATTCAGCGACAGCCGGAGTGTGCCAGTGAGTTCAATGAATTGCAACCAAGGAGAAGTGTTATTTCCCAGCATCTATTTGTGCAAAGTGCAATGTGTGTTCACTGCAATCCTGTTTCTGTTTCTTCGCCTGTGACTTTCTGTTGGAGTCAATATGTTTATTTGAGAACCACTTGCGTGCATTTGCTGGAACTAAAAGACAGAGACCCAGGCCAAACTTGTGTATTTTGATGTCACTCAGCCAGTTTACCATGAAGCACCCACCCTTCTGACTTCTGGGAGTGTGAAACCCCCACGCGTTTACAAGTCTATCCCATCATGAGGACCAGAATGAATACTGAGGTCTTTGATTCTAAAGGAAGAACATGGGGTCTGACCTGGTGGCACAGGTCTTTAATCCCTGCACTTGGGAGGCAGAGACAGGCAGCTGTCTGTGAGTTTGAGGGCAGTCAAGGCTACAGAGTGAAACCCTGTCTCAATCCTCCTTACTCCTACACCCAACACCCCCAAAAGAAAGAAAGCACTGTTTGGGGCTGATTCCTTTTGAGAAAGAAAAGGAAGGGCAAGTGATAGAACTATGTTTTAATTTTTAAAAGGGAAAGAAAAAATGCACAGATGCCATCTTGCTGCAGGAAGCGTGTTTTCTAGACCATGTTGGAAGCACCTGTGGCTGGAACTAGACCCATTGTAGACTCAGAATCTTCATGCTAACAAGATCTTGGGCTGATGGGTTTAAGCAGTGAAACTGGAAAGGCATCATTTGCCAACAAAGTACTAAAGGCCTACAGTGACCTTGTCTTAGTTAGGGTTTTTACTACTGTGAAGAGATACCATAACCACGGCAACTTTAATAAAGGAAAAACATTTAATTGGGTGGCTTACATTTTCCGAGGTTTAGTCCAGTATCATCATGGTTCGACACGGTGGCATGCAGGCAGGCCTGGTACTGGAGCTGAGAGTCCTACATCTTGATTTGCAGGCAACAGGAAGTAGTCTGTTTCACTGGGCATGACTTAAGCTTATATGAGACCTCAAAGCCCAGCTCCACAGTGACACACTTCCTCCAACAAGGCCACACCTCCTAGTAGTGCCACTCCCTTTGGGAGCCATTTTCTTTCAAACCACCACAGACCTGTAGAGCTTAGGGTACAACATGGGGACAACTGCAGATGATAATGTTACAGACTTGAGCTTGGAGTAAATAACCCCTAAGTGTTCTCATGACCCTGAAAAGAAAATCGAATTAGGTGTCATGGCAGGCATGTCAGTTATCTTGGTTGTGGTCATCATTTCACAATGTGTACAGATGTTAAAACAGGACAGATACGCCTTGAATATGTACAGTTATTGTCAGCTGTATTCCAAAAAGCATGAAACTTAGCTAAAACAAAAGTTGAAGCCAGTTTGCTGTGTAAGCAAAGGCAAGCTCAGGCCCCTTCCTCTTTTTGCTACAATGTTCCCTGAGCCTTGAGGTAGCAGTTAAATCAGATGCCCATTTAGGGCTGAGCACTCAACAGCCATATATTCTCAGCAATTTGAGCAGTGATGAGTCTCTGCATTAACTGCAGACAGAGGCTTCTCTGGCCATGCCTGAGAGGAACATAAACGTATAGGCATAATGTAAATAAGGATAATTTTACCATTACTTCACAAAATAGTTGTGAAAATCCAATGAAATAAATATCCACTTAATAATAGATACTATCATTATAATCATTTTTTATAATCAGTAAAGTATGTTGCACGGATCACTAAAGCAGTGGTTCTCAACCTGTGGGGCGAGACTCCCTTGGGGCATAGTAGAGTGACCTTTCACAGGGTCACATATCAGATATCCTGCACATCAGGTATTTACAGTGTGGTTCATAACAGTAGCAAAATTACGGTTATGAAGGAGAAATGAAAATAATTATATGGTTAGGGTTCACCTGTAACAAGCTTTCTTGTCAGACTATCTTTGGACCATCAGCCCACAAATAAAAAAAACGTGAAAACTTATTATTAATTATGAAAGATTGCCTTCAGCTTAGGCTTATCTCAACTAGCTCTTTTTTTTTTTTTTTTTTTTTTTTTTTTTTTTGGTTTTTCGAGACAGGGTTTCTCTGTATTGTTTTGGAGGCTGTCCTGGAACTCGCTCTGTAGTCCAGGCTGGCCTCGAACTCACAGAGATCCACCTGCCTCTGCCACCCCTGTGCTGGGATTAAAGGCGTGTAGCCCCTGCCTCAGTTCTTCCTGAAAGTGACTTCACTGGCATTAGTCATACCCCTGGTGCCAGTCCTGACTCCCGCATGGGCTACCCCACACCAGGCCACGGCCCCCTGAAGCCCCGCCCCTGTGCCCCTACACTGGGCCCTACACTTTTTTTTTTTAGATCAAGGTCATCTTTTTTTTAAATATTTTATTTATTGTGTATACAGTCTTCTGCCTGCATGCCAGCAGAGGGCACCAGATCTCATTCAAGGTGGTTTTGAGCCACCATGTGGTTGCTGGGAATTGAACTCAGGACCTCTGGAAGAACAGTCAGTGTTCTTAACCGCTGAGCCATCTCTCCAGCCCTCAACTAGCTCTTATAATTTAAATTAACCCATTTATATTTACCTACGTTCACCATGTGGCGTTACCTCTCCTCCATCTTGCACCTCCCGTTTCCTCTCTGTGTCTTTCTGGGAACTCCTGCACACTTAGAATTTTCCCCTCTCAGTTCTTGTCTTTCCCTGGAAGTCCCTCCTATCCTCTCCTGCCTTGCTATTGGCCATGTATCTCTTTATTAAACCAATCGGAAGGCAGAGACACATCTTTACATTATAAACAAATAGTCCTCAACAATCACCAACACATGTTGAAAATTATTAAAGGGTCACAGCATCAGGAAGGTTAAGAACTACTGCTCAAAAACATAAATTAGCACCTATTAACTCTTTACCAATGGTGAGTAGGGGGATATTTCGTGGATGGGACTACAAGTTGAAATGAAAGGCTGGGAATGTGGCTCAGCACTGGGGTATTTGCTTAGTACACAGGCCCCGAGTTCAACTCCTCAGCACTAAAGGGGAAATGAAATCATTGCTGCAATCAGTCTCAGGTGTTTCTCTGTTTTTGTTAGTGAATGGGAAACAGAACCAGGCAGAGACACTGGGTCTTCTCCGTAAACCATGATGGTGACTTATCTTCACAATCACCTGTGGTCTCTATCATCTGTGACTTTGTTCTTTGAGATAACTATCAAGCCACTTACTCATTACTAAGGTGTCTTTGTCTATTGCTCTTCTACATTCCCCTCTCAACATGGGGCCTCTCTTTGAACCAGGCAGTCCCAGTTCAGCTAGCATGGCTTGGCCACAAACTCTAGGTCTGCCTGACTCTGGTCCCCAGTGCTGCGGGGAAGCTATTTTGAAAGACCCCAATAGGGATACTTTCACGGAAGGGAGACCCGAACCCAAGGAACAACGAGACCACGAGCTTGGATGCAACAGCAAGAGGCTTTATTGGTAACACATGGGTACCCGGGCGTCTCAGTCTCGGGGAACTGAGCGCGCCGAGCTGGGGACTCAGGGGTTCTTTTATAGCAAAAAGCGCAGTACAGAAGCGAGAAGCCTAGTAACAGGACCCTGATTGGGCAATTTAAATGAGGCTAGGGCTCAGAGCGTGGGCAATTGAGGTTTTTCTTGGAACTCAAGTCTTGGCCTTGGCCCTATCTGAGGAACAATTGGTCTCTGTGTTTGCTCAATCCTGCTGAGCTGGCCATCCGGCCACCTGCAGATACCCGACAGCCTGTGTCCTTGGGACTGAGCTCCCTTCTGATAGGCAATGACTATGTAGCTGTGGGGGAATGGAATTCTCCATAAGCCTCAGCTGCCTGTTTAAACTGGGCCAGGGTCTTTCAATTTATGCAGGTTCTGGGGATTCAAACTCCAGTCCTCATACTTGCTAACACAAGCTTTTACTAATGATCTGCCCAGCTTTCTCTTAAATTTATTTGATTACATTTTAATTTATTCTCTTTTTGTGTATATGCATGGGTATCATGTGCCTTGGCACATATGTAGAGATCAGAGGATAACTTGAGGGAATCAATTCTCCCAGAGAATCAATGTGGATCCCAGAGATTGAATTCAGGTCATAAAGTTTGGTGACAGGTATGTTGGCCCATGGAACCATCTCACCAGCCCTCATTATTTCATTTGTATTTTTAGGTTTCGGTGCTGCAGGTTGAAGCCATGCTAAGAATTCACTTTGCCACACAGCTGACCCTCTATCCCATAAAGCATGAATGTATCATTTCTCTGGAACTGATTTTGAACATTCTGAGTGTTCATCCAGTGAACTCACACAGAGCCCCTGTTACGGCCTGTTTTGGGCACAGGGAACTCAGTTAACAAAACATCTACCATGATGGAGATAACTTTCCAACAGGAGCCTTAGAAAAACACAGAAAAAGAGCATTTTCCAGATTCACTAATCCATTACCTCATCACATGCATCACAGAGGAGGACAAATGTTCTTGGTCTCACTGACTTCAGTTCCTATACCCCATCCCTTATTAGCCTCCTGGATCAACACCCAAGTTTATTATCTGCCCACTCTGCTCCATCAATGTGTCTTAGTCCTCTTTCCATTGCTGTGACAATGTACCCGAGACAAACAACTTAAAAAGAGGGACGTGATGGGGGATGTCCTTCTATATATACTATTCTCTTATTGGTTGATGAATTAGACACTGTCTGGCCAATGAGGAAGGAAAATAGTGGGTCTAGGAGACAAAGATATTCTTGGAAAGGTCGACAGAGGGAGCCCACCACAGAGTTGCCATGCTGCCGAAGGAGTAACAACATGCAGGGGCATTCCAGGTAAGTCACAGTCTCATGGCAATACATAGATCGATAGAAATGGGTTAATAATTAAGACAGAACTAGTCAATAAGAAGCCCTAGTCATCAGCCAACAGATTTATAACTAACAGAGTGTCTGTATGCTTATTTAGGGCTGAAGTGGCAGCAGGACATGGCAGGACAAGAACCCCAGCAACAGGAAAGGCTTACTTGGCTCACAGGTCCAGAGGTTTAAGTCCAGTTGCTTTTAGCTCTTGGCCAGGCATCAATCATGGCATAAATGAATGGTGATGGAAGATGCTTGCTTTATGGTAACTGGGGATCTGAAAGACAGAGAAAGAGACAGAGCTGTTGTTGGATAATCTTTATGTATTCTGTTATGACGTGTCTCTGCCTAGGCACCTTCTTATTAGATGAATAAAGAGCTGAATAGCCAACAGCCAGGCAGGAGAGGATAGGCAGGACTTCCAGGAACAGATGAATCTAGGTGATCAGAGATGCCAGCAAGACATGGACCAAGTCTGTTGTACAGAATGGAGGAGAGATTAAAAAAGAAATCATGTGGCAGAATACAGATTAATAAAAGCAAGTTAACTGAAGTTATAAGAGCTAGTTGGGGAGGAGCCTAAGCTAAAGACCAAGCTTTCACAATTAATAAGAAGTCCCTGTGTTGTTACTTGGGGGCTGGAGGTTCAAAGATAATCTAACAAGAAAGCTGGCTACATTTTGCTCCCCAAGTGGAGCACCACCACATGGACTGAAAAGTCATGCCAGCCAGCACCCCTGCAGTCACCACCTGGGCCTCTCCATGAGCACTTCCAACAGTTGGCTGATGCTCATGGGGACTCTGGAAAGTGGACTCAGCAACTTTCCAGAGCTGGAGTAGCAAATGCAGCTGTGGGGCTGATGCATGCCAGCACGAGGCTAGGCTCTCATAGAACTGAGGGGCAAGAGCCAGTCACCAGTGTCACTCCACAGCAGGATCAGAGAACACTGCAAGAGCATGGCTGCAGGCATGCAAAAAGTCAGGTCCAGATCCCAAAAAACCTCTAAACAAGTACAATATTTTTAAAATGTGCTAAGGTGCTAATGGATATAGACAGTCATAGAAAAATAAATAATTAAAAAATAAAGTCTTTAAACAAGGAATGCAGTAATATAAAAAATAAGCCACATAAAGATGGGAAATACAAAGAGTATCTGGATCCTGTATGGTACTTTGTAGACTTTAAATTTTTGAAAGCTGATGAGCAAAGGGCAAATACTGCTATGAGATATTGAGTTGTAGAAAAAAAAAACCTGCTAAATTAAATCAGTCTCTATATATTAAAGATGTCTTAACTTTAGAATGGAAGTCAAAAAATGTGTTGTATTAGAGGAGAGGTTATATAGCTGCACAACTGCAGGTTGGACATACAGAATGGAATGGAGGAGAGATTAAAAAAAAGAAAAAGCTACATGGGAGAACATAGATTAATACAAGCAGATCAATTTAATTTACAAGAGCTAGTTGGGGACAAGCCTAAGCTAAAGGCCAAGTTTTCGCAATTAGCAAGAAGTCTCTGTGTCATTATTTAGGGGCTGGAGGTCCAAAGATAGTCTGACAAGAAAGCTTGCTACACAGAACACAAAGTACACCCTTCAAGGCATGCCAGGAGAGACTTCCTACAGCTGGGTCTGACCTTCTAACTTTTCAACACACTCCCAGTAGCCCACTAGCTATGAAAATATTGATGACGTCAGAGTGACACGTCCTAGAGGCCCCACCTCTGAACACCATTGCATCGGGTACCAAGCCTTTAATGCATTTGTTTGGGGGAACGAGGCTAGAAGTGGTGGTACACACCTGTAATGACAGCATTTGAGATGGTAAGGCAGGCATCAAGAGTTCCAGCCTGGGCTAAGATATAATCTACCTCAAAACTCAAGCCAATGGGGCCAGCGAAATGGCTCTGTGGGTAAAGGTGCTTGCTAATAAGCCTGGAGACCTGAGCTTAATCCCTGGGACCTAAGTGATGGAAGGAGAGAGTCAATTCTGGCAAGTAGTTTTAGGGACCATCTTGGCTTAAGGTCAGAGAGTTCAATACTATCCTTACTCTTCCAAAGTTAAAGTCATAAGACCTAAAGGTCTAAGGCATGGCTACTGTAGGATGTCTGGTCTTGGTTGTGGATGTCTTATCTAAATAACAAGAGACTTGGTCTGAGGTGTGATTACTCTTAATCCTCAAGGCCAGATAAGGAGAGATTTAGTCTAAGGTGTGGTGACTAAATGTTTGAAGAATTAAGGAAGAAAAGTCTGTTTCTTCCTTGTATCATGATAAAGAAGTCTTTTGCCATTTCCCCCTTTTTGGTTGAGGTATATGAGAATGTTGAAGAATAAACCTGGCGTGTTCAGTACTCACTGGATTGTCCTCCTGATTCTATCCTGTGCCCTGTCTTTTCCTTAGCATCTTTACCTGCTGTTTCTCAATCCACACTCCCCCTCTCACATTTTGAACCGGACAAAGTTGGCTGGATCCTACTGAAGCCCCACAAAGACAGGTTACTTCAAAGTTTTCCTTTGACATTCACACAAGCACAATGGTAAGTGAAACCACTATTTATGTACACACACACACACACACACACACACACACACAGAAAGAAAGAAAGAAAGAAAGAAAGAAAGAAAGAAAGAAAGAAAGAAAGAAAGAAAGAAAGAAAGAAAATAAACTCCAGATTTCAGCATAATGGCAACTTAGTCCGGGAGAACACAGAGTGTGGATCTAAAAGAGAAAGGCTCTAAAACTGGAGCCCTGGCTGCCACCACAGTCCCTTGAGGCTAGTCTAACAAAGCACCTTAGACATGTCGGATCTGAACTGCAGAAATGTATTCCCCACAGTGCTGAAGTCTAGAAAGTCCATGACCTAAGCACCAGACTATTCAGTGTCTGGTGAGAGCTCTGGGTACAGATTCATCTTTGTGTTTTGTCCTCACTTGACTGGGCTTGCTCCTCCTCCTCCTCTCTCCCCCTCCTTCCCGCTCCTCCTTCTTCTGACTGCTGGAATCCACAGTCTTGTACACAGAAAGCAAGAACCCTACCACAGAGCCACACCCAATTCCTACAGACTTGCAGGTATGGAGACTTCCCAAGCCTCTCCTGTGACAGCACTGATGGAGGGGTGAGCCCTGGCAGGAAGTGGGAGTATCCAAGTCTCTTCTTTCTTGCCCAACAGAAGCAGCACTTTTCATGTACCGGCTTACAGACCTTTCCATAAAGTCACCGTACAAGATGCTGATTTCCCAGCATCCACTCCTTTCCACATGCTGGATTTCCTTATTTCTAAATAATTCAGAGCTCAGTGAGTTTCAGGGGAAGAGGTACAGAACGTTTACACACCAATTTTCTTATACATATACACAAGAAAGCATAGTTTTTCTGATGTGTGAATACAACCCTGGGAAAAAAATAGGTGGAAATAGATTTAACAAGAGTTGGGTAGGGTAAGATGATGTAGAGTGCTTGTCTGGCATGTAAAAGGTATGAGATTTCATCCCCAGCACTACACACACACACACACACACACAGAGAGAGAGAGAGAGAGAGAGAGAGAGAGACAGAGACAGAGACAGAGACAGAGACAGAGACAGAGACAGAGACAGACAGACAGACAGACAGACAGACAGACAGACAGACAGAGACAGAGAGAGCTGTCACGGTATACCACATTTATTAATGTGGAGCACCAACTAGGATTCTATATTGAGCAAGTGTGTTGGTGAGTTTTAATTGTCAGCTTGACACAATAAAATCTCTGGGGATTCAGGCTTCTGAGCATATCTGTATGGAATTTTTTTACTGTATTAATGGCGATATGAAGACTTGCCCATTGTGAGTGGCCCCTCTCCCTAGGCAGGGGCTTCTGGACTATATACCAGTAGAGAAAATGAACTGAGCACTGGCTTGTATGTTTGCATCCATTGCTCTTTGCCCTCGCTGTGGGGATATGTAATGAGACCTGCTGCCTTGACTGCCCTGCAGCAATGGACGATGAGCTGAAACTGAGCTGAACAAACCTCCCTCCCTTAGCTTTTCATCAGGGTCCTTTATCACAGCAACAGGAAAAGAGAGCATGACAGCAAGTTGGCTGAAGCTTCAGGAAGTGGCTTGAACAATTTGACTGGTTAATCAGATAAAGCTGGATTCAACGACGAAATATTCAATAATATTAAGATGCCAAGCCTTTATGAAGCAGTGCAGAGGAAGGCCCTACAGGGAAGAACTCTGCAGTGGACAGCAAGTTTAACTACGCATGACTCGTAATCACTATGCCCTCCATCTGAGGGCGGGAGAACACGGTCTCCGTGTTCTCCCGCCCTCCACTCTGTTCTCCAACAGGTTGTGCGGGCTGACAGATGCTAGTCCACTTGCGTTTATGTACCTTTGTATGTCGGAGTGGAGGGTTGCATGTATGTTTGTGAGTGTGTGCAAGGGTGTGTCTGTGTGTGTGGAAGCCAGTGGATAACCTTGTGTCTTGTTCCCCAGGCACCAGTACATACAGGAGCCCAGGACTCACCAAGTAGGCTAGGCTGGCTGACCAGTGAGCAGCAGGGATCTCATGCCTCACCTCTCCAGCACTGGGATTACAAATTCCTGCTACTGCACCTGGCTCCCCCCAGCTCTAAATATGGATTGTGAGGGTCTTCCACATGCTAGGAAAACATTCTACCACTGAGATACCCACCCCAGGTCTCTTTTCCACTTTTTATTTTCAGGTAGAGTCTCACTAAGTTTCCCAGGCTAGTCTTGAACATATCCTGTAGTTGGGGCAATAGTTGAACTGCAATCCTCACGC